TCGGGAATTTGAGTGAGTAGTGGAAAATTAAACGTCTCCACTACTCCCATTCCCACTCTCGAGGATAGTGTTGTACTCGCTGGTCATCTTCACTACTTTGAACGTCTCCATTATCACTCGTCCATTCACCCCTCCTCCTCCTAGCTCGGTCGGCAGCGAAATTTCCCTTTCGGGCAAGGTAGCCTGTCTGTTAAGTCCTGTGATTCGGTCATTGCAAGGGCGCAGCTCGTTCCTGTTGATTCCCATTCTGAGGAAGGCGTCCCAATAGAGGATACTCGAGTAGGCACCCGTGTCGACCATGATTCGGTGAACGGGAATATGAAAAATTGGGGTTGTGATCACGAGCGCGTCTGAATGTGGGTTGTCGAACAGGTGGGTGTCTTCATCAGAAAACATCACAAGGTTTGTTGGGGCGGGTTGCCGTTCTCTTACCTCTGTGCGGCTGATTTGGTGTTCGGTGTTGTACGCTCAGCGCGTATGCTTTGACTTGCCTTCGGGATATTCCTGAATCTCCTCGGCTCGTGTTGATTCTTCTTGTGGGTATGGTCCTCTCGACTGGATCGTTGGATGATTCCTCCTCGTCTCGAACAGATATGGTCCTCTTTCGGCAGCCCCTCTCGGATGTGCTGGCCTCATCTCTTCGGTCCTGGCTAATGGTTAGGATCTCACGGGGGCGCTCTCTCCCCCTTTGCTGGTTTGGTCCGAACTCGGGATCTTCTTCCAACTCCAAGCGGTCGTCATTTCTGGGACGCCGATTTCTTCCTTCGGCTCTGGTAAACCTCCTCACTTGCGGATTGTCAATCAACTTTAGCAGAGCGGATATAAGATTTCTGCACTGATTGGTGTTGTGACCGTGCGACTTGTGGTACACGCAGTATCGGGTCTTTTCCAAGTGTTCCTCCTCTGCCCGGAGTGGCTTTGGATCCGGAAGGATCCCCTTGTTCTTCAGTTCTTCGTACACGACGGCTGCACCGGCTGAATAGACTCCGTGGTAGCTGTTCATCAGCTCTTCATGGTACTTTCTTTGTAGTGCGCGGACTTGGGCTGCTTTCCCCTCCTTCAGGAATTCCTTGAACGGTTTGTGTTCTTTGGCTTTTGGTGACGGTTCGACCGATAATCCAAACGTGGGTACGGACATGCTCTCCTCTGCGATCACGTGCTGCTGGGCTTTCATCAAGAACTCATGGTACGTCTGGGGCTTGTTCTGACATAGGGCCCATCGGAACATCGAGTTCGGTTTAGTCCCGAGTAGGCAGACACGAGTAGGGTCTCTTGGTGGCACGGTTCCATGTTCTGCACTCGTTCATTGAAGCGGGTGATGTAATCCTTCAGGCTCTCATCGGCTCCCTGGGCTATGTTGGCGATCGACTCCTTCGGAATGCGGCACGGTTGGGACCCGATGAAGTGGGTTCGGAACATATATTTCAGTTGTGGCCAGCTATGAACCGAATGAGGTGGCAATGAGTGGTACCACCATTGGGCCTTCTCGCCTAGGGTCAAAGAGAACATTCGGCATCGTAGGGCGTTTCGGGCACCGTGAAGGTCCATCCAGAAAGTGAACAGACCAATATGAGTGTCCGGGTCTGAGACCCCGTCATAGAATCCGATCTGCGGGACCTTGATCTTCTCCGGCAACTTTTCCTGCAAGATGTCGAACGTTAGTGGTGATTCTGTCTCGGTTGGAATGTTTTCTGTCCATCCTCTGGAGGTTGTGATGGTTCGTTTTGGTATGACTTCGGTTCGGTCCTGGGAGGTTGAGGTGACTCGTCCCTTTCTTTTGTGGTGAGACTCCAGTTCGGCTAGCCTTCTCCGAAGTTTTCTCATTTCTTCTTCTTCAACTTCGCTCACCCGCCGTTTGAGGACCGTACGTCTGAGGTCGTCTTCGGTCATGTTCCTTCCCAACCGGTTGAAAACCGACCGGTTAGTGCGATGTGGGCGGGAGTTGGTGACAGAACGACTCTCGTCCGTCTTTTCTCGCTCAGACTGAGTAGTGGTCTTTGTGTTTTCCCTCAGGCTTCTGGTGGTATCCTCGCGGGATTGTGAGGTGTCTAACTGAACGACCGGACCTTTGTGGCTAGGTCCGGCGGCTAGGTCCTTCTTAGCCGGCGTCTTTGGAGCTTGGGATGTCGGTGGCCGGATCTGCGTCATGAGGTTCTATATTCCTTTGACGAAGTTGGGGTCTGCAAAAAGTGCCGTGTAGTCCCTTGCGGCTGGTTGGCGGCTACGTTGGTTTTCTCCTTCCTCCGACTCTTCTCGGCGGAATCTTCGGCTGGACGACGATGATGCTCGTGACATGTTGAAATTCATGCCCTTCCTCTAACGCCAATTGTTGATGTCTAAAATTGACCAACAATGTGTTCAAACTGTATACTAGAATGTATACTCTGTTCGGTCTGCACGAATAGGGATTTTGTGTGGTATTCGATACAAAAGACAGTACGAATGTAAGCTCTGTTCGTGACTTACTTGGTATTTAATGAGAGCATTTACTCATTGCATTTAATGTTTCCTCTTGCTCCTTATATAGGAAGTGTGAGGACTTATTACATGCTAATTTCAGGTTTTCTTTTCCCCTTTTTATTTTACAAGATATCAAATAGATATTTAGTCACACCGCATTTAATGTTAATGTACTATAAAACACCATCTCAATAAAGAAAACTCGCTCGGGTTACGACACGCATCCCAGATTACTGGGCGCCATTAGATTGAAGAAGATTACTGAATCCGCGCGCATTTAATATGTATCGTACGGCTTTTATTTTGGTGATGATGGATGTCATCCAGACACGCTACCCATGTCTCGCTCGGTCCTCTCTTGGATTCGGTTCGTTCCATTGCTTCTCGTCCTGCGACCCCGAGTAAAACTTTACGCAATTATATTTCCTATCCGTTCGGTCTCTACCACGTACAATAATAATAACTAATAAAATATTTAAATTATTTAAATTACTTAATTGTACAATTATATCAATTAAAAAATAGTTTTCGAATGCACATAATTTATATGTGATCTTATAACTTATTTCACTTTATAAAAATTTTTACACTTTATAAATCAATGTGTTGCACTTTATAAAACGACAAGCTACACTTTATCAATATGCCCCACAATTAACGTCATTAATTTCCACCAAAATACAACACAACATAAATCTAAAAAACGGATCAACATAATATCAGTAGTTCAGTTCGGTAACGACGTTTTTTTAATATTAAAAAAAAAACCGATCGATAAGCATAATTACTGTAATTTTGGTCGTAATTTTGGTAGGTTAGTGTGTTGTTTTACAAGGTGCAACATGTTGTGTTATAAGGTACAATGTAATAATGCATAAAGTGCAACGTGTTGATACATTAAGTGCAATATTGAAAGTTTGATACGTTAGCATGCGCCTTTTTTTTTTTGTTTTTTTGTGGATAGTTGATGTGATGGATATGGATGTTAAAGTATTATGTAGAACCGTATTATAGATTTATATTGCATAATATTTTAGTGGGAGTTGTCATTATAATGTGCAACGTATTATTTTATAAGATGCAACGTATTGTTTTATAAAGTGCAACAATTAGCTATATAAAATGCGCTATTTTGTATCTTTATAGATAAATTATGTGTATTTGAAAATTAGTTTGAATATATATAATTGTACATCAATTAAGCTATATAATTAAAATATGTTTTATATGACTACTCGGGCTATTGCTTTTGTAAAGCTAGGCTCCTATTATATATTATTTTTAACATAATCAGTAACGTGCATTGTGTCTAACACAAATATGCATTCAAAGTACCAATCTTTTTTAATGAATTGTCACAAACCAAGTTAAAATTAAAATAATCGGTTTATTTGATCAGTTAACCAAAATAATCTAAATAAATAAAATAATTTATAATTTATTGTATAAAATATATTTAATATTTTCATTTAATATTTTTATATTATTTTTGTGGTAATGACATAAATGTACGCATAACAAAATAGTATTTGTTTATATAGTTCAGACTTCAGTCGCTATAGTTCAATATGATAATCATTAACGTGCAGTTTGTCTGACATTAATGTAAACTCGAAGTGCAACTATTTTCTATGACAATATATTTTGTTTTTATAATTTTTTATTTAATACTTTATATTATCCTTTTTTGAAAATAAATAATATATAACAAAAATATTTTAAAAATAAAGCCGACATCGAATCGATATTACTGAATTTAAAAGTAAAAACAAATAATCAGACCGACATATAAAAAGTTCGAAACAAAATTGTTATTGCAATCTCACAGGCACAAAAGTGCAATATGTCAATCATTAATGCGCAATTTGTCAAACACTACTATGAACGGTTTTTTGCCGCTAATGTGCAGTGTGAATAGTCTCCCAACTCAATTAAAACATACAACTATTGTGCATTTCAATTTAAAAAACTTTAATAAGGTTTATTTCAATTATCATTGTGTGTGATTATCAAATTATTTATATGATAAAAATAATTTTTTATTTAATATTTTATATTGTTGCTTTTTCAAAATAAATAATAGATATATACAATTATAATATAAGGAAATGCTACAGTCCCGTTACGGAACCATTCTGTCGGGGTTTGTAACGGTTAGATCATCAACCTTCAGGGATAGTTAATCTAAGGGTTACAAACCCCGACGAGATGGTTCCGTAACGGGACCGTAGCATCTCCCATATAACATAAATAGCATTAAATATGATATTTTAAATTAAATTTCTTATACTAGCCCATATCACCAACCACCAACTCAACAATTCACCAACCCATTACATTAAGTGTCTCGTGCATTAAAATTTAAATTTTCCTATATTGGAATCATCAACCACCAACTCACCAACCCATTACATCTATTAATAAATTGTAATATTTAATATTAAAGTTTTACATATTGCAAACAAGTCCCTTTAATCTGTCTAATTTACAAAAAAATGTCCCAACTATAATTTTCAAGTGCACTTTCTGAGTTCTGGATTTTATGGTCGATTATTTTTATTTTCGACATCGCTTCCATCCAGATATCGACGGAGGACGGCATCTGAAGACGGTGGAGGAGGAGGACGACGGAAGTCGGCGTCTAGCCGAGCGACGATGGCAGTCAGGATGACGGGGATGATCGTCGGTGTGTTATCCTTGTCATTTGGCGATCTTAAACCCGTAATTGCAGCTCCACATCGACCGAGCTTTGCCAAGGAGAGAGAAGCAGCGGGCTGCCGCTGGCGACACTGACGGTTGTGTCCTTCATTGACGGTACCATGGGAGGATCGGACGGCGGCGAGCGGGGCGGTGGTGCCGTTTGGATGGCCAGGGAAGGCGCTGGGTGGAGGTGTTACGGCGTGACTGGCCGGACGAATAATAATATGTAGCCATCGCTAACATATGACTATGGTGGAGCGAAGGAGGACGACGACAGAAGTCGGACGATTATTCGGCGTGACATCGGTGACATAGGACTTAAAGACAGCAGCGGATGAAATGTTGGATTATAAGACGGCGGCGGCGTGTAATTGTGTGTAATTGTTACTCTGTGTGTGTGTGTGTGTCGTGCATTAGTGTGTGTGTAATTGTGTGACAAAGAGAGAGTAACGGGGAGAGAGAAAGAGAGTGTATGTGTGTGCATATGTTAGAGCATCTCCAATGCTCAAATGTTATTGTGGTAAATTACATGTCACGTCAACATATTAGTAATATCACAACTTTCTATCTTCCAATGTACAATGTGTTCACAAATGTTGTGGTGATATGGACATAATTAATGTCTACAATGTAGAGAATAATGCGGTTCATTCACATTCTCCTCCGCACCTTAGCTAGCCAATGAAAAGAAGAGAGAGAAGTATTCTTACCATTTTCAAGCTATTTAATTATTTAATTAATTTTCTAACTTTTTATTAAAATTTTAATAATTAGTAAGTAGATAATTTTTTATTAAACTACATTGTGCATTGGAGATGATTTTTAAATTTCATAGTTGTGAACTTAACATTATTCCTACATGGTTCACAATGTATTTAATTTATTGACATTTGTCATAATTTAATCTATAACAATATTAGAACATTGGAGATGCTCTTAGTTGGTGTTGGGTGGGGCCCACATGTTAGTTGGGTAGGAAAATTACCACATTATCCTTAATGTGTTTAAAATTTAGGCTTTTTTTTCAGCTATTGGATCATCCGATCTAATGACTAAAATTTATTCTTGTTTTCTCTCATTGAGTACCTTTCTCACTTGAACCCAACCCTATTTAATAAAATATTAATAAATATAATTATATATTAGCAATCAATTAGTATAATCATCAATATTCTACTTCTCATCTGTCATACAACAGTACTATAGTAACTTTGTGATGAATCTTTTATCGTGTTTTTACTTTTTATACATGTCATGCAAATAACTAAAAGAGCAAGATACTCATATGATTCCCCCAAGAAAATAGAGATGATTGGACCACTGCAATCTTAGATTTTTTTATTTTTATTTTTTCGAAACGATAGAAATACTCATAGATACCAAACCAAAGCTTGAATACAAATCAGACCAAGTCTGAAGCCGAAATGAGGGAGAACCACTCGCAGGTGGCCTAAATAACAAAATAGTTAACACAGCCAAGGGAACTTAAGCAGTTATGACATCAGCTAGAACTTAAGTGCCCCAAATTAACACAAAGAAAAATACAGAGAAAAGAAAACAGCAACAAGACTTCCACTGATCTAAAGATCCTAGACCATCTTCATTGTTGTCTTCTTTCCCCATGAATGAAAGCCGATGTGCCTCCTCAAATTCTTCCCAGTCATTAACAGCTGCAGCAACAATGAGATTTCTAGAGAAAATTAGAAAATTGTTGTTAGTAACTGCATTAAAAAATATTTATCACCCATGTGTTTNTACCCGGAACGACAGATGCAACTATATTAAAAACTGAGGCGAACATAGTTCGAATACAAGCGGTACAACCAACCTAAAACATAAAAGTGAGAGACACGCATATAGCGGTCTAGAGCCTCAAAACCGAAACAAACCTCTAAACACACAAGTACAACAAAGATACATCACAAGAACATCACAAAAGAGTTAAGCCCCCATCACTGCTACAAAGCCTAGTAAGGGACCTAACTAAAAAGAGAGAAAGAAAACTGAACTTATGGGGAAGCCACTGGCAAAGAAAATTCCAACCAGTCAGACTGAGCCATTTGGATCAGGTTGTGTTCAGGGATTAAAGTCTTTTGAAAAATCCACAAATTCCGAGACTTTCAAAGCCACCAAAGCATGTATGTAGTGAGTTGAATTCTTGCTTCGTAGACTTCAGATTTGTCAAGAGTGCAAACCTGATACCACCATGCTCTAAATGAGTCTATATAGCCCAGTAAACCTTCCCAGTTAATAGGACATAATTGCTAGACTTTGATTGCTCTTTGGCATTCAAAAAGATGTGCTCCACTATCTCAGCAGCAACACCACAGATTGAGCAGGTTGTATCAAGTTCCACTCCTCTTTTCTTCAGGTGAACAGCCACTGGGAGTGTATTGGAGAAGCATTTCCACACAAAGTGTTTAAGCTTCCTAGCAATTTTCAAGTTCCAAATTCTGTACTTGATAGTTGGCTTGCTTGTGGCAGAAGTGCTACTTTCTGGAATATCAGCTTTCAGTATTTTGAGGCCACTGAGATGGGCATAGGTACCAGAGACTAAAAATCTTTCTTTCTTATCAAGGCTCCAATATAACCTATCTTCCCTGAGAGGATTAAGAGAGGATATACTGAGGATAGCATTGCTGTCACTCTCATTGAAGACCTGCTGAACCAACCATCTATTCCACTCTGTTCCAGATTGATTCAAAAGATCTTTAACCCAGATTAAGTGGTGTCTAGCAATAGGAATAAGGGAGGGAGATGGATTGTTGAAAGATGGAACCCAGTTGCAGACAGAGATTCTGGTACTTTCCCCATTTCTGATTTCCACTTTCAGCCATTTAGCAAAAAAAGGTATCATGTCCACCCAACTATTCCACATCCAAGAACCACTTTGAGTCTTAGTTGCATGAATAAGAGAAGAGTTGGGGAAATACCTGTTTTTTAGAAGTCTGCTCACAAGGAGGTTAGGGTGAGTTGCAATCCTCCACAGTTGCTTACAGATCAGAGTTTCGTTGAATAAGAGGAGGTCATGGAAACCTAACCCACCTTTTTCTTTAGGAAAGGATAGAAAACTCTATTTTTTTTCCAGTGTATGCCTTGTGGCTGATCAGTGCCTGTTTGCCACCAGAATTGAGCACATAGCTTTGATATTTCAGAGCAAAGGGATATTGGCAGAGAGAAACATGACATTGAGAAGACAGGTACTGCTTTGATTAGTATTTCTTTCCCAGCTGTGCTTAGCTGTTTGGCCTTCCAACTAGTCAATTTATTTTTCATTGATGTAAGCAGATATTCAAACACATCTCTTTTTGATCTGCCAATACCAAGTGGGAGACCAAGGTACCTTGTGGATCTGTGAGCAGTTATACCATTCAAAGAGCTACAGATGGCTGTCTGAAGTTGCTGGGGAGTGTTTCTACTGAAGAAAAAAACTGATTTTTGGAGGTTGACTGACTGTCCAGTGAAAAGTCTGTATTTCTCAAGAATGTTCATAATGTAGCCTGCTTGATCAACTCCTGCTTTACAGAAAAAGAGGGAATCATCTGCAAAAAGCAAATGAGACAGCAGAGGACCATTTCTGGACAGCTTCATACCTTTTAGCAAGCCACTAGAGATAGAATTCAAGATAATAGCTGTGAGCAGCTCAGCCACAATTATGAATAAGTAAGGGGATAGAGGATCCCCCTACCTTATACTTCAAGAAGGGTTTACAAAGCCACTGATTGATCCATTTACTTTGAAAGAGAAGGAGGCAGTAGACACACAAATCATTATAAGTTTAACAAAGTCTTGATGGAAACCCATTTGAAGCATAATTTTCTTTAAGCAAAGCCACTCAACACGGTCAAAGGCTTTTATCAGGTCTAATTTCAGAGCCATGAAGAAATTTGGACCAGTGGAATGTCTGTTCAAAAAATGAAAGGCTTCTTGTGCAATGATAACATTGTCAGTGAGCTGCCTACCTTCTATAAATGCTGCTTGGTAGTCATTAATGCAGGAAGATAGGCAAGCTTTCAGTCTAGAAGCCAACAGCTTTGAAATGATTTTATAGATTACACAGCAGAGACTTATGGGTCTGAATTTGCTCAGAGTGTCAGCATTTTCACATTTTGGGATCAGAGATATCACTGTGTGCTTCCAGTATTTGAGTAGCATACCTGATTGGATGAAACTGATGACAACTTGCAAGAGGACAGGTTTAATGAGATTCCAGCAGTGCTGAAAGAACCTTGTTGTCATCCCATCTTCATCTGGTGAGTTATCAGGTTGGAGACTTAACAGAGCACCTTTGAATCAGTAAATTATTGTTAGGTAGATAAAATTATGATATTATATAACACATTTTTTTTTTAAATTACACATTTTTTTCAAAATAATGAATTGTACCGCGCAAAATTTGTATGTTAAAATTTAGTGAGCTTTCCAATCATACATGTATGGTTTGTTAATCTTTTATCATATAAATTGATTTGTACATTGTTCTTTATTTTTCTTGGTATTGAAATGTTGATACTTGTGCTTTGTTCTTTATTATTCTTGGTATTGAAAATTTGAATGTTGATCGTAAGAGTTTATTTAGCTCAGAAAATAGACCATGAAAAAAAGACATTTTTTAAGGTAAAAAACACATACAAAGAAATGGCACCCAAAAGCCTTGACACAATCTAAAACCAGGATAAGAATGAAAGAAGTATCAAGTCTTGTACCATAAAAAAATAATAATAAAAATAAATAAAAATAAAATAAAATTGTACCAAGAAAAAGAAGAAGTATCAAGTCAAGATAATCAGATATTAAAAGAGAGATTCTAAAGCGTGCTTGTTTATAAAAAAACTAGTTTTATTTTTCTGACTTTTTGGGTTAACTAAAATTTATTTGGAAAAAGTTAGTATGGTTAGTTGGTAGTATGACTTTGAGAATATATTAAAATAAAATAATTAAAAATAATTTGATGTAAAAGTAGGAAATAAATGATTGGAAATGATATATAGTTAAAATTATGAAAGTTGATGTAATATATAAGAGTGATTGAATCATATTATTTAAATATATTGATAATCTATATATATATAATTTGGAGCAACATCATTTAATTTTATTTTCATGCATTTAATTATATTATCCCGCCAAAAATTTCAACTTATTTTATTCATTTCAATTCTGCCAAAAACAGTTACCATGTCTCTTATTTAATTATATTTATGTTGCATTTAATTATATTATCCACCTATGAATGTAGTTACCATTTCTCTTATTTTCTCATAAAGTTTAAGAATGTAAATAATACCTTTTTCTTATTTGTTATTGATATTG